TCCCCCCCCCCCCCCCCCCAACGAGCTGCGCGTAGACGTCGAGGTAGTCAACACATCAGCGAGATGGCATAGTCGACCGCCAAGCCGAACCAAAGCAGCAGGCCCACATCTCTATTGGATCTGAACTTGCTCCAACAGTCCGCTCGGTCTGCTAGGTCAACAGTGTTGATTTGCCAGTAGAGATGAGCGGCTACCGCACCTAGAGCTGCGCAACCTGCGGGGTGTGCTGACAGGTCGATGGAAGAAACGGCTGTGCTGAGTGTCTCGACTATCGTGCAGGGTGCTGGCAAGGACCAGGCTTGTTTCGCTGCTGCGAGAACATCAGAGGCGGACGCCGCGGACGGCAAGACCTGAGCAGCGCCGCTGCCGCTGCCGCTGCTGCTGCTCGCATTGCCCATCGCGACGGCGGTGCTGCCGACGAAGCATGTGCCAAAGAGGGATAGAATCGGCTTGGTCTTGTCTCCGAACAACAGTGCTGTGCTTTTGATGCCCGTAGCTAGATCGTCCTTGGCATCCTGATGAGCGTATATCGTGTCGTACAAGATCGTCCAGCACACCGTCCCTGCGTACAGAGGTAGCACGATGGCGAGGTGCAGATGACCACCTAGCGCTGCGTAGCCCAACAGACTTCCCCAGTTGAATGCAAGACCTGCACAGAAAGGATACTCATTCAGCCCCGAGCACGCGACGAAAAAGGCAAAGAGGCATGCACCCTGATGACTCACCAAGCACCAATTGTGGCCAGTGTGTGATGCGCTTCATGAGCGGATACACAATGACGAGGCCAAGCGACGTGGCACCGAAGAAGATTCTGTTGGCGGGAGGAGGGGGAGGGGGTCAAGCCAGTGAGCTGTGCGCTGTGCGCTGTGATGAGGCAGCTGAGACTGAGCTTCTGAGAAAAGACGCACGAGTACCAGTTGAGTTGAAGCAAGACTGCAAGTCCAAGACTGAGCTGACCAGATAGAAAGACGAGCGCATTGATGGGGCTCAAGGCACCCGAAGCGATGGGTCTGGATCGCGTGCGTTCTGTGCGTGCGAGAGATGACGTGTGAGCATGATGGGATGGGGGAATGACTCTGTAGCACATGCAGCCATAGCACATGCACACGCCTCACCGACGCCTTGATCCAATTTGCGGTCCCACAGATCATTGATGGTGCATCCTGCTCCGCGCATGACCAGCGCACCGGTACCAAAGATGCCGTAGCAAGCAATGACTTGTGCGGGAGTTGCTGCCAAGTGCTGAGCAGCCAAGGTGAGACTGAAGGTGCAGGGAAGAAAGAGCAGCCAAGTACCGATTGGTTTGT